ATAGGTGACCTACATTTTACTCTGTAACTTTATTATCTGACTTCTAACCATAACTTAGCCTATCATTCAGTCTTGTCCATGCGATTAGATATTTTGGGGAAAGATTAATGACAAGGTGAGATGAGTTAATCAGAATCAGCCAAATTTCATGAGCAACTGGTTAGATTGATCTTGAATTTTGTTTAAAATTTTCTCCATTTACTAGAAAGACTTTAATATTGAGTAAACTAATACTTTAAATGTGAGTTATAGAACAGAGTTACAAAATAGACATTGTAATAAACTGGCAATATACACTTTCAACATTTATGGTTTCATTTCATTAAATCAAGATAGCAGACATTTTCATATTTACACATTAATGCTATTTTTCCCAGTTACCTTGCAAATAAATAGAGCGAAGTTGATAAAGTACAATGGATCTCAGTTTATAAATTTGCTGTTTTATCTCAAAACGCTATCTTAGAAGTTTTTGTGTTTTTCTGAGTGAATAAAAGCCTGATTTCATATTTTCTTTACTTATTTATTATGCATATGATCACAACCTCTAAATAGGAGTATGAAATATGAAAACATAATTTGATCATTTTCTGGGTATTATACAAATATGGAGTAAACAAAATGGGATTTTTAAATTAATTATTAAATGACCCAACTGTAATGAACTCCTTATCCCATAGAAGCATTTAGTAAGGATTAGCTATTTAAAAGGCTCTGGAGTATTAACCTCTGTAAGGTTAATTAGAGTATTAATCCTCTTCCAGAAAGATGGATTATCTAAACATATATTCATCATCTTTGTGGACACTTCTTAGTAGAAAACTTTTCATCTGTTGTTTTCTCAGTTTTTTTTTATTAGTACATACTTTTAATACATTTACTACTTTTAATCTCATTCTTTGTGGCGTGGTGCATGTACGTAATACATCATAATTCCCTTTTTCATCCTCTTTCCTTCCTCTTCTGCCTCTCTCCATCTCTTGGTCTCCTTCCCATTTGGAAAACATCTGTCTCCCTACTTCCTATTACCTATTTTTTATTTTGTTCTTCATATTTTGAGTTTCTTATCCAAGAGAAACCATATGATCTTTAACCTGTGTGTTTGATTTATTTCATTTAATAGTATGGTCTCAAGGTGCATCCATTTTACTATGAAAGACTCTAGTTTATCCTTTCTTATGGCAATATAGTATTCCACTGTGTATAAATACCACATTTGCATCCATTTTTCTGTTGATGAACATATATATGCTGTTTCTAAGATTTAGCTATTGTGACATATGCTGCTATAAACCTGAGTACGCATGTATGCATGTATCACACAGCTGCTTATGAAACTCCACCCATACACAATTTTCAAATGGCACCTCTAATGTCCTGTTAATTTGGAATACTGCTAGTAGGTACAGTTACTGAATAGCATGAGCTTCTCTCTACCAGCCAGTGTTGGATATATGTCAAGGCATAATCCTGGTTGGTATCTTAATCAGTTTCTGCAGTTTGATCTCATCCAAAAATATGACATAATTCCTCCAAATAGTGTTGACTAAATACTCTTTCAGGGTTTACCATGGTGTGAGAATGAGCCCTCTCTCTACACTTACTATGTGTTATGGTTTATAAGTAGACCTTCCCCCAAAGCCTCATGTGCTCATAGATGGGGGTTTCAGGAGGTGATGGCATGATGGGAGCATGCTACTCAGTTTATAACTAAATGTAGTATTGAGAGATGGCTCCTGGTCACAGGAGAAGGATCACTGTGGACCATGGCTCAGAAGGGATATCTCTCCCTTCCAGGCTCCTCCTTTGGTGCCCTCTGCTTTTCTGCCATCATGACAGGAGCAGCTTTTCCTCTATTATGTCTCTCTCCCATGGCCATGCTATTTTTTCTTGGGAGCCAGCTGATCTTGGACTGAAACATAAGCCAAAATAAATCTCTCCTCCTTTAAGTTTTGAGTGTCAGTTATTTTGTTCCAGCGATGATGAAAGTGACTATGACACTATCAAAACTCAAAACCATGTCATTAGCATGATTTTACTATTAGTCTATGAATAGTCATTTGTGTCATGTGAAGAGGCTACTTGAATAAGTCATAATTGATTTAAAAATTTATAAAGACATCTGACTGGACAAGGAGGCTAGAATGGAGATTAAATGTAACCTTAGTCCAGGAGTTTTCCAGGAGGCTCAAGAAGTTTTATCAGTCAAATTGCCTATGGGATTCATTGGCCCTACTAAATGCACGCCCATATTATGTACCACTGCTCTCATATTACCCAATAAAATGTTTGGTCATCTGCAGCAGACATATGCTTCATTACTAATATTATGGAATGTGTTTGCAATCTGTCTCAGCTAGAGTTAGAAAGAGTGCATCAGCAAGGTTATGGATGTGGAATTTAAAAGGCTTATTGGTTGCAAAATTATTTTTGGCACAGTCTGATTGTGTGCCTCCCATATCAAAATCCAAGAAACAAAATCATAATTATTTCTTTCACCAAGTTACTTGAACATGGCAGCTAGTACTACATGAAAATTCAGGTACTTTTGTGCACAAGGACTTCATGTCTTCAGATTCATGGAAAACAACTATTGGCATATAATAGGTGACAAGTGTATGAGTAGATAACTGAATAATCACACAGTGAATCATTACATGGAGAGATAATGCATAATACACACATATACTATATATATGTTCATATATATGTACTGAATATATTAAATCCCATATCAAACATTCATCTCATATTCAATTGTGTAATATCTGGAGCCATATTGGCTTTTAAATAATACCATATATGTGCTCTTCCAAAATTGCAACATTGCTTTTTAATAATGGTAAAATGAAGCATTCCTATTACTTTATTTGTTTATTTCAGCTAAACTAAGTAGGTATTCTGTCTTCAAACCATGATTTGATCTAAATTCCTTAATAATTTGATTCCTCATCCTGTATTTTTCTCCCTGGCATATTTTTTCATTCATTAATAAGCTCCCAATGATGCTTTCATTTTTTATGTTAAATGTTTCTCTTCAGGTACAATTACAAATATCAAGTCAACTGAAAATAACCAATCCCTTCCACCAATAACACATTTAATAACTCATAGTTTTCAATTTGTTTTTCTTCCTCTTTTAATTTCAAAGTTGTATGTTTGTGCACACACACACAAACACATTCACACACTCACACACATGCCTCTCTAGGGCACTTGTGGTTGCTGAATTCTTATTCATTATGTTTTTCAAATAATGTTTAATACTTATTTGTCAGGTTACAAAGATAGTTAATACCTAATTGCATCCTCCTGAAAGTTCTCTCATAATCATTCAACTTTCTATTTATAGTTACCTGCTGATTGTGGAGAAAGTCTTTGCTCCTGTCTTAGAACTTACCAGTCCTCACATTGAGCACCACTATTTGTATTTATATTATAGCTGGGCTACAGATTCAGCCATGCAGTGGATGTTTCCATATTAACTGTTTATTTTTTTTCTTAAATTCTTTTATTGGTACATTTTAGGTAAATGGTACATTTACATTTATCATTGGGTACTTGTACTTGTACATGATGTATCTTGATTCTTATTTTTTCCCCATTCCCTGTCCTCCCTTCATCCCCTCCACCCTTCCCTATTTACAAAGACTTTGTTTCCATTTTTTTTCTCATAATTTTTCCTTTTCCTTCTTTCCTTTCCCCTACCCCTCCCATTTTCCCTTTCTTTGCCCCTTTTCTTCCTATTTCACATTATCAATTATTTGTTTAAATCATTTTAATCCTTATTTACACTTTCAGAGTCTCACACAGAGAAATGATTCAGTATTTATACATGTGTGTCCTATTTATTTCACTTAAGAGTATGGCCTCAATGTGCATCCATTTAGCTATAAATGTCTCTAGTTTCTCATTCTTTATGGGTGAGTAGTACTCCATTTTACTAAAAAACCACATCTTCTTTATCCAGATTCCAGTTGATGGGCACTTGGGCTGTTCCCAAGCTTTAGCTATTACAAACTGTGCCGCTGTAAACATGGGTGCACATATATCGCTGTGGTATGATTCTTTTAATTCTTTTGGGTAGATAACCAGCAGGGGAACAGCTGGGTCAAATGGGACCTCTATCAACTGATTATTAACTGTGGGATATGCAGAGAATTATTTTACTTTTCTATTACCAAATAAATGTTAATATAGCATTATATATTTAATATTTCACAGGATTTAAAAAATATATAGTGATGTGATACATGCAAAACTTTTTTTTCTAGTACTGGGGACTGAACCCAGGGCCTTCACATTGACCTGCATCACCAGCTGTTTTTTCTTTATGTTTTCATTTTGATAAAGAGTGTTTCTGAGTTTCTAAGTTCCCCAGACTGGGCTCAGACTTGCAGTCCTCTTGCCTCCACTCCCTCGAGTGCAGGACTACAGGCTGTACCACCATGCCTGGCTTCAAAATCTTAACATAGTGTTTGGCGTGTTATAATTTCTCAATATTGTGGTGGCTTTAAAAAATTTAAAACAAATGGAGATAAATAATTAAAATCAATCTTTCAGATTAAGGGCAGTGTAAAGACTTCTAGGTAATTTGTTGAAAATTTGTGTCTTGGTTTTATATTCATTTGTGATTTTTTTGTCACTTCAGCATATTTTAAATGTCACAAAAATTGGTATCATTGTCAACATTAAGATAATTTGCTTTTATCATATTGGCTATATCTCACATCTTATAAAACCTTGAGTATGACTTACAAAACAGAAGGGACTAGAGTCATACCAGGCAACTGAAATTACTGCAAATTTTGAATTGTATTTTCAGTAACTCAGGAAATAATTAAAAAGAAGAGTTAAGACAATGACATTTTTTTCCTCCAGAAAGACTGAGTGTAAGCGCTATTTACTTATGGAAATTTTATTATATAAAAATTAAATCTTCTAAGGAAAATATAAAAATAGTGGTTTTACTAAAATTAATTACTCTTTGAATCTTTTAGGAATACACAATAGATATAATTTTTGCCCAAACCTGGTTCGACAGTCGACTGAAATTCAATAGTACTATGAAGGTGCTTATGCTTAATAGTAATATGGTTGGAAAAATTTGGATTCCTGACACTTTCTTCAGAAACTCAAGAAAATCAGATGCACACTGGATAACAACTCCTAATCGTCTGCTGCGAATTTGGAATAACGGACGAGTTCTTTACACCCTAAGGTAATACTGCTCTATAAATTTATAGTTGCTCTAATTTATTTATACTAACACATGACTAGCTTGTAAAGTTTTCTTCCTCAAACTTGCAATGCAGGAAATATGGTATTCCTTTCCTTTGCTAAAATCCAAATGGTGAAATATTCTGGCAATACTTTTAAAAACTCAGTTACTACTATATAAAAAGTTCTGGAGCTAAAGAAAAAAAACCTCCCAGTTTTAAGTTATTTTTCTAGATGGAAAATAGGTTGTTACATGATCACTAATGTTTTTAAATCTATAATGTAACTCACTGAGATTTTTCTCTACGAGCTCATCCTGTTACAGAATTTTATAATCAGATTATCAAGAACGGACTATAAAACTTCCCTCAAAATGGACTGATGTATAAAGTTCAAATGTATTTAATTCATTTCCTTCAACATATTGTACCTGTATATTAAGAATCATTTCATTCTTAGAAAATATTAGCAAACTTACTAATGTAAAATGTATTCATCTTGCACATGTATGCACATGTGCATGTGAATGTGTATGTTTGCAGAGATTCTAAAATATGAATTTTGAAATGTTAAATCCAGAGATCATACTGGAACATATACAGAGATAACTGAATTTTTTAGAGAGCAAAAATTTTAGAATTTTCCAAGTTAGAATTATTAATGCTATAATATTACAATTCGAGATCTTGACTTTAGTATCATTACTATATTCTAATATATCATACTTTGTTATTGTAGGCCAAATCATATTTTAAAATTAAGCAAGATATTTTTAATGATTAAAACCATTTCTTTATTCAATATTTATTTTTCCATCTACATAGGTTGACAATTAATGCAGAATGTTATCTTCAGCTCCATAACTTTCCTATGGATGAGCACTCCTGTCCACTGGAATTTTCAAGCTGTAAGTAATAAAATAATTAATGATTTCACATAATTTTAGGCTTAAACACTATTTCTTTAAAAATGTAAAATAAAATGGAGTAAACACAATTTTCAAAAAGTATAGATATGCTAGGTAAAATTTGTTAGGTAAAATAATTATAAATATTGCATTTGTTTCACTAATATTGCATATAAAAGTAAGAGAATAATTTCATTACAACCCAAATTTTAAAAGTCAATGTCATGAGATGGAGAGTTGCTAAGTATCTGGTTCCCATGTCTCTGTGTATTCCCATCACACACTATCTACTCTGAAATTAGAATGAATATGAAATATGAAAAACGCAGTATAGAGCCCCACAGAATAAAAGAAAATAAGAGAAAAGGAAATATAAGTTCTTAAGTAAATTATCAGAGAAGACAGTTATTTTATTTCATTACTGATAAGAGATCAAGGTGCAAAGGGGAAGGAGATGTGGGAGGGGTAGAGGGGAAAGGAAAGACGGGAATGGAATTAACATGAGAAAATGAAAAATGGAAACAAAGTCTTTGTAAATAGAGAGGAGTGGAGGGGTTGAAGGGAGGGAAGGGGAATGGGGAAAAAATAAGAATCAAGATGTATTATGTAAAGGTACAAATCTCCAATGATGAATGTCATTATATTGTATACCTAAAATGTACCAATAAAATTACTTAAAAGAAAGAGATCATGTAAAATTATATACTGTTTGGGAAATAAAGTTAATTAATGAACTCTCTGTAATATGTAGACCAACCATTTCACAGCCACCTGCTCCAGGATACAGTTAGCCTAACTACGGATGGGGGCATAGGTCAAACTTGTTAAAAGTGCTCTCATGACAAACTGTAATTTTCTCTTTCCTGTAAAGTGAAATTTAAGTCAACCCCATGTCTTTGTTAAATATATTTTTTTGGGAGTACCAGGGATTGAACTCAGGCCAGGCAGGTGCCCTGACGCTGAGCTACATCCTTGGCCCTAAACACATTTTTTAACAGTGCTAAGCTTAGAAGTTTATTTCTGACAAGATCAAAGTAAACGTAAGCTAAGATATTTCAAATATCATGGTTATGCTCCAGTTTTGAATTCTGAGAAGCAGTATCATTGGAATTGCACATATCATAACTGGTTCTAACAAGGCAAAGTGACAGCGCCCGCCTGCTGCCACTTGAACACTGTTTCTCGGGTCCGTGCTCATGCGCATCTCACAAAAGGTTTATAAACTGTGGTGGTGGGAAAAAATTTTGTATTAAAACGAAGCCTGTCTTTCATGTGTTGATTTTGACTTGAATTGCCCATTTTCTAAAATTAAAATCTTTGCCTACCTGCAAATCTTTTCACACAGTATCATTTAAGCTTTTGTTTGTATTATTTTTACTGATTCACAGCTTAGTTATATTCAGCTTTTCTTTATAAGACTTGCCATCAATGTGCATGTTTGTGTTTTCCAGAAAAAAGGTATATTTGGAGGGAAGCAATAAAATAAAATAAAATCTTTCACGGTAAAAAAAGAGAAATAATTAAAAATTTCATATTATTATATTTCCAAAAATATACAGATGATTACAAATAGACAAATATTTTTAACCCCCAAATCCATCTAACAATTGGAAACCTGAAACAAAAGACAGATACATAGGGTCACATGAAAAATGCACACAACACAAGCCACTAAATGCACCAAGAAAAGTTGCCTCTGAAATCAGCATACCAGCATGAAATAAACGTTACAGGATTATTCTTTAAACTGTATATACATATTTCATTCAGTATTTTTTCTATTTGGCATATTTTATAATAACAAACAAAGGAATTTTCAAGACCTTGTCATTGTGTAATGTTGTTATTGTAACAATATCTGATTTGGATCCTGCAAATCTACATATTATTCTTTTAAATTTTCCTATAGATGGATACCCTAAAAATGAAATTGAATATAAATGGAAAAAGCCTTCTGTAGAAGTGGCTGATCCTAAATACTGGAGATTATATCAATTTGCATTTGTGGGTTTAAGAAACTCAACTGAAATTGCTCACACAATCTCTGGTAAGGAGACTATATGCACCAGTGAATTGTGCTAGCACTAAATGGCATTGCTATTTAAATGTATGGGTTAGAATATATATTTTCTAACCAAAATAAACCATATTCTTTTTCTTTCAGGGGATTATGTTATCATGACAATTTTTTTTGACCTGAGCAGACGAATGGGATACTTCACTATTCAGACCTACATTCCATGTATTCTAACAGTTGTTCTTTCTTGGGTGTCTTTTTGGATCAATAAAGATGCAGTACCTGCGAGAACATCACTGGGTATAATATCTAATGTTTTGCTATAATAGCATAGGAGTTAAAAACTTTAGTGCAATTAAAGTTTATAGATGTATATATTAGAAATATTCCAGCAAGTTTGCACAGAAACTAATGGAATATATATATATATATATATATATATATGTAATGAAATATATACTAATGGAATATATATATATGTACTAGTGTAACAAGAACTTAAAATTTCAGAAAATTCCTTATATTTATCAGTACTTTTAATTGATTTTCAAGGTTTAATTTAGATATTAGCTGAATGACTAATAATTACATTCACTTCCCGGCGTGTGTTTTGATGGTTTTGAAATCCTTTGGTCTTACAATGCTGCTAATGAACAATCAACTGTTCCAAAGGGTAGGTCTCTGAAAAGAACAGGAAGCTCCCTTGCTTCTGTGATATATAAAATGTGTAATTAATCCAAATGTATCTGACAGTTGTATGTAAAATAACACTGATTAAAAATATAATTTATAATTCATCCTCAATAAAATGGATTTTTGTTCTCTTCCTGTAGCAATATATTTAAATAATAATATCCTATAAGAAAAAAAGTAGTTAATTACTACACATGAGGCATTGAAGGGAGGGGAAGGGATGCAGAAAAAATAAGAACCAAAATATATCATGTAAAGGTAAAATTCCCAATGATGAATGTCATCATATTTTATACCTAAAATGTACCAATAAACTTAATGGGGAAAAAAACTGAAAGAAAGAAGCAGGAATAAAAAGACAATGATAACTTTCATTTGCATGTTGATACACAGAAAACTTGTTAATCATCTGATTCATTTCCAAGATCAGTGCAGGACATGAATAACACCACTGTCATTTGTGCCTTTAAAGTTATAGTTTAGAAATTTTCTATTTCTAACATTGAAGAGTTTTCCATCTGGTTCCTATGATATCTGGTAAATAATTACACTAATAAATAAATCTTAAATCACGTGAAGTGGCAGCAATAAATCTACAGCATTTTACTGTATACTTGGACATGCAGTTTTCTTTGGAGTTTAAGGATTTGAACAAGGAAAACCAAGAAGGAAATAACGATGATATCTGAAGTGATATTATATTATCCATTTAATATCATAAATGTTGACTTACTATCATAGTTACAGAGATATTTTAATAGGAAATTCATCATGTTCCCAAGCTAGCCACTCTGATATTAATTATTAAATTTAAGAAGAGAATTCTGAAAGCTGAAATCTACTGCAGTTTTTCTTGCCTCATAAAACAGATATGTAATAGTGTTTTAATAAACTGAAATTAAATGCAAGCATTGATAACAGAATCAAAACACACAGTAATTGCAAGAATTTTCCTGTAAGGATGGGACATAATTAAGAAACCAAAAATAGTTTTATAAATCTTGCTCTGTCTTCTGAGAATGTTGAGATTTAATGTTTTCCTCAAAAATGTGTGGAAGTCGAAGAAAATGGGAGACTTGCATTCATTTGCTATATATAAAAACATTAAAATATAGCTTTGATTGCAAAATAATTAAAGTAAAAACTGTCAAGAATAATGGAAAAACCTGTAACCATAATTGGACTTTTTAACATCCCTTTCTCATTCCCTGTTACAACTACAAGAAAAAAATGTCATTCAAAATGTAGAAAATCTGAATGAAATTATCAACTACTTGAACTGATTGGTATTTACTGAACACCACACAGTGTACATAACATTTTCAACTGCATGTTGAACATCAACCAAGATTTCAATAAAATTTAAATGACTAAGATATTGGATATATTTTCTGATGAAAATGAAAGTAAAAGTTAATAGAAATAACTAATAATGGTCTCAAATATTTTGAAATAAAAATGATCTTTTAGATAACTTTTGGGTGAATAAGAAATAGGAATTTAGCATCGTAAACTAAATTTTAATAAGAATTTAACATATAAATTCAGCTAATGCACTATTTAGAAAATTATATCTTTAAATTAGCAATATTAAAAAGGAAGATCTAAATTCATTAACTAAGTATCTAAGAGGAAAAAACTAAATTAAATCATTTTTGTATATTTGTCATAATAAATATTATTGTGTAGGTTTTTTCCATGAGAGGAGTTAAGAGCTTTCTTTAAGCTAATAAGTGGAGAAGTGAGAGATTAAATTTACCTAAAGCAGTTTGTCTCTTTGATTCCAAGTGCATTGAACATGTTTCTTTGTTTCTTGTTTTAAATCTTAATAACTCATGAGACTAAAAAGACAGGTATGTGAGAGGAACTGTTAGGGCATATTTCAATGGACTCTTAAGGGAAAGTCATGGCTACTGCCCTCACCATACCAAAGATGCTGCTGCTGCATCTCTTTCTAATTTTCCTTTCATTGTAGAAGTCACTATTCTATATGTATTTGCCAAATTAAGAAGCATTCAGCATTATATTTAGTACTTTTAAGAGAGTAATTCTATTTATAAGATACTTTTTTTGAGGTAAAGAAAGACAATGATGGCAATTTAATAAGAAGAGATAACAAGCGCCTCTGTGATTTAGGTGACCTAAGATTAATAGTGATAAGGACCCAAGATGGCCAATAGATAAAGACAAACACTCATTTTCAAAAATATACACACAGGGTGGGGCTCCTAGGCATATCTCTATTACATGTGCTGAAGTCTTATACATATAAATATTTACTCAGTGTTTTTGAAATATTCCCTTCCACGATTGTAGTCTTCACTTACATTTTGAGGTAAAAATAGATTCCAGTTGTCATGTAAGAAAACACTATGCTTTAAATATGTATAGCAGAAGATCGCCAATCACTTGTGCTTCAGTTTTATCAAAAGGCAGTTATTTCTCCTGTGCAAGTTCAGAGATATCTACCAAAATGATAAGGGACATTGTAGTATGAGGATTTCAGGTTCCTTCTAGCTTTCTGCTGCATCATTGGTGATTTGAACTTCCAGATTCCTTTATGGTTGGTCTAAGAGGATTCTGGTGCTCTGACCATTGTATTCCAGCAGAATATGAGGAGGGGAGAAAGAAGGGCATTCCCCATCGTTTAATGTCATCATTTAGACATTGCTTTCAGTCCATATCTCCACTTCACTAGATCTTGGCCAGTGGTCACACTCCACTGAGTAAAAGGTGACAAAGTTGTTCTGGGCAAGCACACACCTGGTAAAAAGTTGATAATTTCATTGCTATGGAGGAAAAGAAGGAAGAGCATCGGGAGTCAGCTTGCTTCACAGTAATTTAAATGATTAAAATTCACACAGACAGAAAGGCATTTAACATCATGTAGCTATGGTTACCAGTAATTCTTTCTGTAAATGACTAGTAATCATATCCTTTTGTTTCCATTGTTTATTTCAACTCACAATATTGCCAAATCACAATGAATCACAGTTTGTTACATCATTTTTAATCTTCTATTTTTTTTTTCCTTCTCTCCACAGGTATCACTACAGTTTTGACTATGACAACCCTGAGTACAATTGCCAGGAAGTCTTTGCCTAAGGTTTCTTATGTGACTGCGATGGATCTCTTTGTTTCTGTTTGTTTCATTTTTGTTTTTGCAGCCTTAATGGAATATGGAACCTTGCATTATTTTACTAGCAACAAAAAGGGCAAGACAACAAGAGAAAGGAAGATAAAAAACAGGGCCTTGGTATGTTACAAAATCTCTATTGCATAAACCTCAATTTACCTGAAGCTTCTGTTTTTGAATATTCGTGTTACATTTGCTTAGTGTAATAATGATGGTTGAGGGTTTAGGACAGAAGAAAAGTAAAATTAAAGTGCAACTGGGGAATTTAACATTGCCAAGAAAAGTATATTTGTTATTTCTCCACGATTCTTACTGAGTGTCCCTTGTAAAGAATGATTTCTTATACTACGAAATTTTCCACAAGTATTATATTATTTCTGCTTAAAATATTATTAAAGATTTCTCTTTAATGATATTTTTGTATTAGGATATGGATTTCTAATAATGTGTGCCCTATACAATTAATTTAAGAGATTAATATCCTTCTTTAATGTCAGAATATCACAGCCATAAAATTCTTTTATTTTTGTACTTGTACTTCTTTATTTTCCCATCCCAATTACATAATATCTACCTTAATTTATATCACAGCAGTATATATATTAAAATTGATTTTATTGATTCTCATATACTTAAGTACTGGCTGATTTATTTTAATTTCTTTTTATGATAGTAATTATGACAACCTGAAAGTAATATCTCACACTTATTGAGTACTCCAGGCAGCACTCTGAGCATTTGACATGGATGGTTTCTTTTATGTTCAGAGCATAAATGAAAGAATCACTCAGAATTGTGCACAAGGACAGTTAATTAAGTGAAAGGTGCAGGACTCAGACCAAAATCTTTCTTGGTGCCAAAACCAGGCTGTGACCATATATGTTCATTTTTTCCCATTGGACTCCAAAATTGAGGCATTTATTTCTTTCAAATCAAAAAGTATGCTTTATCACTAATTACAGTAAATGTTTCAAAAGCAAATTTGGTCCAAAATACTCAAATAAATGAAGATTGTATAAAACATCTGTGCATGCATGGCAAGCTCATCCGCCCACACTAGTGGACATAAAATGAGGCCTGAAGTTTTGAATTTTACCTAACTTAGTAAATTGTAGGATTCTGTGTTCCTCTCTCCATTTTTTGTTAATTTCTTTATAATATTTTCCTTGCATTTAAAAATGGTCATTACTTTTAAGAGAGATTATAGGCCAAGTATGTTTTCTGATATATTTTGTTTTGAGATTATCACAATATTCTAAGAAAGCAGAGCACATTGCTGACATTAGAAAGTGGAGAAATTGTGTTGTGTAATCCATCTCTGAATCTCTCATCTGTCATCATTTTAGCTTATCTGTAGGATTTGGTATTATTCCCAAGGGAACACATCAGAGAACAAGTTGGTCAACTTTAATATCCATTATAAACTTTTTAGTTTTTTAAATGAAAGTTTTCTACTATTTTCCTTTAATTAGGCCCAAGCATCTAGCTTTTTCAATTTTATCATTTACTCATTCATACTTATGTTGAATTCCTACCTTCAAGTCTTTACTTGTGGAAATTGTGATTGGAAATACTTAGAACAAAAACATAAATGAAAAGCCAGACAATATCCAATGTCACATGGATTTTCTGCTTTCATTCCAATAACATCTAATGTAGGAACCATTATTACACCATGGAAGGACAGGACACCAAACAAGGGTAAACTGTAAGGACATCAGCTATTCATTTGTCCCCAGATCATGTACTCTGGACCATTGTTTTGGATGGCACGCTTACTCGGGAGAGCTGAAACACTGCAATTCAAACCTTAAAATTATGTCATTCAATCCTTTAAAATTAAATGTATATAAAAAGAATTCTAGAATTGTTACTGTATTATAGAATGATTACTTAAGAAAATAACCTGCATGTTAGAGGCTTCAAAATTTAGCATCAAACCCAGGAAGAAAAAAACTGAAGATGGAAGATTAATGAATAAATGTTAAGTGACAGTGAGGCATTGTGGCACCTGCCTGTAATCCTAGCATTCTGGTAGCTGAGGCAGGAGGATCACAAATTTGAGACAAGCCTGAGCAACTTAGCAACGTCATGAGACTCTGTCTCAAAATAAAAAAAAAAGAAAGTGGGGGTATAAAAATAAAAAGGTGTGAATATAGTTCAATGTGATGCTCTTAAATTCAATGTCTAGTACAACCAAAAAATAAAAAATGGCTTTGATTTACTGAATTGCAAATTGCAGGAATCCAACTGGCATATTATAATTGACTACCTGGGAGCCAAACATATTTGTACAGCCATCCAAAACAAAGTGTTCTAGCCTTTCTTTTCTTCTGTTGTTCATTTATGTGCTTTATGAGTGCTTTCATCACAAGTAGTACTTTGAAAGCAAAGCAGATAAGTTGTCAAACCTGAATTTCTGCTTGGTTCAGTGGTTAGCTGTATGGTCTTGCTGATCAGGTAAATCAGAATGTACTTTTATAAGGAACAGACAAGCCAGCTCCATTCGCTGTTGTTGTAAATCTTCTATTTGGCTTTGTAGACTCCACATTCCATGGCTCCTCTTCCAGTCAGGAAAATTAAATGTGCTACCTAGACCCAGACGTCTTGCAGCATCCTGTCCTTATTCTTGGTTTAGTTGTTTGTGGCTTCATCTCCTCTTTCTCTCTGACTCTTTCTTTGTCCTTCTATGTCCTTTTTTTAATAGCCACAAAATGACTAGCTTGAAATTTAGCATATGTTGGCCTCTTTTTTTCTTTTGATTATTTGTGGCTGGAGTTACTGAAGGATCATCATATTGGCTATTAAGCAAAATTAAAATCCTATTCTTGACATCTCCAACTGCTTACCTAAGGATCCTAGGATGTCGTGGGTTGTTTCCTTTAAGTAGAGATGAGATTTAAATGCAATAGATTTTTAGCTTCAGGGAATCGTTTAAGAAAAATATAAACTAATAAAGATATTTTATATCTTCCTCTCCACATTAAGTATTTATTATTTTCTCCCTTCCTTCCTTCTTCCCTTATTTTTATTTCTATTCTTTTCTTTTTTATTGTGCCTATCAATGACATTTGAATTGGTACTCATTCCCATACAATATATGATTTTTTATTACCAGTAATTAAAAATGATTTAAGTATAATTATTTCAGATTTCATTTTTGAGAAGATCTGAGAAGTTAACTATATAACCAAGTCATCAAGACCCTTAATTGGTAGAGGTAATGGTCACTGAGAGGCAATTATAGTAAATAAGCCATTGTCAACTAAGAGTACATCATATTGAAACTTGATTATTTAGCCAACAGGAGATCAGAACCTCAGAAAGCCATGTTATACTTACATTGGAATCCTGCTTTACTTATTTGAGAATAGGAGTTTCTTATTTTTAATCTCTCAGTTTGATGAAAACATAAAATGACAGAATATATATTTCACTGATCATAGGCAAGGTACTTTGGAGACAAAAAGAAATGGAATGTGTTTTCCACATTCAGGGTTCTTCAAGTCTAGTTTAGAAAATTGATTCCCAATGCAAATGTAAGACAGTAAAGTAAAATAAAAATGACAGTTTAATATAAAAATTAAAAGTAAATGAAGAGGTAAGAGAATTGACAATGAGATGGGTGGCTTCTCATACTTTTTTTTAGAAGCTGAATATTTTTATACAATGAATGTAAATAATGTTTTATGAGAACACAAGATATCCTTTCAGAAGAAATGTTCTTATTGGAATAGACAGGTGCCAAAAAGCTGAGGCTATATGGCTACTCCCCAGCATTGAAGACCTTCTTGATATAACACAATCTGTGAAGCATTGATCCAACAGGCACATAGTGTTGACAAGAGGTTTATGGCTATGTGGGTCACAGTGGAGTGGAGGTTTCCTATCATTTCAAGTGTAAATAATTTGTTCAAAAAGCATGTAAACTAGTCTTCTAAAGGAAGTTTGGCAGAGAAAATTTTTGAAAACATGTAACATTATGGGAATAGTTTTTTGAAGAATAAGTTGCAATTTGAGAAGAGTAAGTTAGGGAGAATATTGAAGACAGAGAGAACCATTGAAGACAGAACTGTGAGCAAAGTTGAGCTTTATACAATAGCCTCTAGTTGCATATGGCTAGGTTATTTAAAATTAATAAAAGTTAAACTAAATTCAAAATTTAAATCTTAATAACACTAGACATATTTCAAGTGCTCAGTAGTCACATGTGACAAGAGGCTTGTGTACTGAAAAAGACAAATACAGTACAGTCTTACCAGAGCAGAAAGTTTCCTTGAACAGTGCTCTTTTAGAAAATAGGAACCTCAAGAAGAAAATGACGCATGTTAAGGACAGAAAAGTAAACTACTTTTCTATGGCCAAGTTGTTTAAAGTCTCCAGTGTCATGCTGAAAGTTGAAACTTTGTCTTATGAATACTGATAAGTTATATACATTTTTAAGCAGGATGGAATATTTGCAATAATAGTCTTGAAGCATAAGTAGAAATAACAGGGTATATATTCAAGTGGTAAAGAGGTAGGGAGATAAATCTTGCAACTATTGCTATAGTTCAAAAAGAAGCATACTGTGAGGGCAAAATATTAAGTTGGAGATAATGTGGAAGGGTTTGTGTATTTTTCCTGCAACTCCCCAACCCACAGCCTCTTCTCTACAAACAAGTGATATTCTTTCCAGTCAGTGGATTATCTTCATGATTAAGAATTCATCTATATTTCAGAGTACATAATAGAATAATGAAAAACTGAATCAATCTACTATTTCACAAATTATAAAAAGTTTTTTCCCTGAAGTTATATTTGGCCAAGCTCCCAGCAGGGATCAAATTAGTGAAACGTAAAAGGCAGCAAAAGGTTGCCTAAGTAATTGTAAAACATCAGTGCATGGTGGATGTTTTCGACAAATAGAGTGATCATTTAATTTCAGTTGTCACAGTGGTTCTATGATGCTCTTCTGGATATCATCAAGAAGTCTTTCATTTTGACATCTAAGTAACATCTTTTCATATTTCTCTTCTTATCAAAAGTACCACAGACTATTACCGCTGAAAAGAAACAAATTAATTATTGAGTAAAATTCTCATTTAAAAAACAAATTTTAACATAATATTAATATGTGTATGCAATAGAGACAAATAGAACAATAATGTACAAATGAAAAATGAAATTATTTACCTAGCACTGTTAGTCTTATCTCTCAAAATTAATCACATTTTTACCACTTATGCTTTTACATTCCTCTAATGATTACTTTCATTTTACTTCTAATTCTCAGTGCAGCAAATTTTAATGTATCAGAGAAAAAGCTAAAAGATTAGCTCTTTGGTGGAAAAGAAAAAGTACCTTTCCTATTGTCTCATTCTCTCTCAATATTTCATCTGAACAATTGATAGTTATATTAAATTTTATCTTAAACTATTAAGTTACCATATTAAATTCAAAACTTTAAAATCTGAATTTATTATTGTGATTAATTCTAACTCCTGTCTGATTATTATTTTAGTTTAACCTTTTTAATTTCTTTGCTATTTTCTATCACGTTTCCCGTGATGTAAAATTTTTTCTCACAATGAAAGACTTTTTAAATCATACTTTACATTATTACTTAATATTGCTGTCTTTTACTTCTAGGAATTTGATAGATTTTGTCCCATAGTTTCTTGATTTTCCCTAAAACTACTGTTATATAGATTTTTAATACTTCTTAGGTTAAGCATGTATTCTAGATTTTCACACCATCATCTTTTTCTTTGACATATTTTTCTCTCTACACAATGGACAAATTCAAGATTTTATTTTAAAACTTTTTGAGCTTTTTCAAATTTACAATAACCTTTTCAATTTCTGAGAAATTGTAATTTTCCAACTATTCTCCCTTTGTTTTCTTTCCAATGGATGCATTAACTCCTCATGCATTTCTGAGTAGACTAATTACCAGAATTAATGTTCTCTTGCTTCCTGAATTGTTAGAGTCAGTAATCTAGTGCTCATCATTATGTTTTTCATTTGTATTGTTGGTTCTCAAATGTTGTTTTTGATTATTCTCCAGTAGCAGGACATGTGTCAAAGTTTCACTGGTCAGATATATTTTCATGTGTTGGGGGGAACATAACTACTCCTGGCTTCCAAACTTACACATATACTCTCTAAATGATAAATGTTAGAACAATGAGGGCACTCCACAACATTCCAAAACCAATCTCAGGAAGGAGTCTTAATCTTCCATGAAGTGTTGTTATGATCTTACTGTTGTTCCTTCAGAATTTATGGAGTTCTAACAATATGAAAAAACACAGACAAACAATAGCAACAACAAAAACAAAACCCACTCATCAGCATCCTACTTCTCTGCTTGGACAGCAGTTGTTCTCTAATTCAAACAGTGCAGCTGTTAATCCAGAAACGATCATTTAACTAATACCGTATCTTCCATGCCAATTGATTTATTATTCCCATTTTATCCTTTGATTGAATGTCTCTGACATTTTTGAGAGAAAGAACAGTTTCCAAACTCACATTTCCATTTCCTCAGCTTCCTGAAATGTATTTTCTTTGGGTATACTTTATCTGTTAGGCTATTTCAATTTTTGACATTCAGAAGTTCATTACAAATTTTAATATTCAAATTGAGAACTCATTACCAATACTTATCGCCTGTCTGTTTTTAAAACAGATATGTATTTTATAATTTTTGATCATTGTAACAATGCTTATAGGATATTCATTTAAGATATTCAGTTATGTTGTTTCTTTTTGTGTTACTTTAGCTGTTTTATTTTTATTTTTCCAATATTTGCTCTTTTTTTGAGGGCAGCCAATGTAGTGGAGTTGCAATTCAGATAAATGCAGCTCATATCTATATATTCTTCCCATTAATCATTCAGGGTTTTCCAGGTGAGAAGTCTATGTGTTGCCAGTATTTTGTTTTATTGATACTGTGTAGATCTTTGTATATTTGTCTCAGTGTGTATGCAGTCTACTTCTGTTCACTTTCATCATTCATTGAAGTGCAGCTTCTTTGAATTTATGAATTTGGTTTTTTTTTGAAGGGGAGAAAAGGGGCAGAAAGAAACTGGAAAATTGTCAAAGTGTCATTGCAATAGAATCATCAAAATATTGAACAACAAAGATTAGTCCATTTTTATAATGAACTACTTCCAGTATTTCTCCATTTTTATGCACTTTAATGTTTAATCATCTCTCTCATACACAATTGATTTCTTCTGATAAATCCAAGGTATTTTACTTATGACAGTCCAAAGTGATATATGAAATGTGTTTTCTGCCAAATAACTTTAAAATTTTCAACTAAAGAACTTCTATGTTAACTACTTTTCTTTCTGACTCTCATGTGAAAATGTTATTTAAGTATTAAGTGACAAAGAAATTAATACCAATCTGTAAGTTTTTACATAATTTCAGTGTCCCACTAAAAGTTTGGACTCTAATCAAGTATCCCCAAAATGTAATCTTTGAAAGATTTGTCCTTAACTTCTGATAATAAACTTCCCCTTATAATACATGAAAACAATTTTTATAGTCTTGGCATTATATGCAATGTTAAGCTAATCAAAGTATTGATTTTAATAATTGTAAGATGCATAATTTAGATGACCCTGGAAATATGCAGAAATTATGAAGGATGATAAATCACTAAAAGTGAAGACTTCATACATATTTTACTTGCAATTTTATTCAAGTATTTTTTTTTTCTAGTGACTTTCTGAATGAAGCTCAAGTCTTTGTTGTTATCATTGCCTGTATGTTTGCTTCATCATGGATTTTATAGTTGTGTTTTATTCTTGTCAGGCATCAGCAATAACAATAATAGTAATGGCAACAATAAGTAGTATCTACTGGCAACTGAATACTTTGTTTCAAATATTTTGCTTGGTGTTTCATGTGCATCATCTCATTTCATCATCAAACAGATTAGCGTTATTGGCACTGTGATATTGGTACAACAGAATCTCAATTGCAAAAGAGCAGTCAAATTTTCTGCTCAAGTTTCAAGAACTGTACTATTCAATGCTCGAAATTCAAAATACATTTGTTTGACTCGAAACTGTTTGCCTTAACGTTCTCTGTTCTTCTGACCTTGTCTTATATTTAATATTTTCAAAAATTATTTTTATCATTTAAGTATTATTCAGAACCTGAACACATTAACAAGTTAACTTGATATGTGTCCCAAATAACTCTAATAATAATAGTATCTATTATTACCATTCAAGAAGGAAAACTGATCATTTCCCCATAAGTTATGAGATTTACCCTTCACAGTTGTCACAAAAAATTAGGTGCTAATATAATTCCAGCTATGAGGATAGCCACCTTGCTAGAATGAGCAAAATTCTGAACCCCACTTCTTCCCCAAACTGCAGTTTTAACTCCTGAACAGCATATCTCCAAAATATGTTAATTTGCACCTATTCACTACTACAAACTTATATTTTTGTGTTACTCAGAGTTTCTTAAAAGATTTGTGTTATCAATGTCTTCATTGTCATTTATTCCCATGGTCACTAAAATAAAAAACCATATAATAGCAAACAAGTATATTCATAGTACTATAAATATTTTAGTGTAAAATATCATAGAAACATTTTCTCCTTTTAGAATGAGATTCATAGTTGACAGTATTATAGTGCACCAAGTTTCTAAAGATATAAAATATACACTGCATTTTCTGAAGTGTTTTCTATATGATCTTTGGGATGTAAGGAAAGTTATGTGTTGCTAAGTAAGAGCTTGCCTTGATGGTGACATAGTAATCATCCTTTATTTTGCTCTTTGCCTGAAAAACTCAATTATTATTTCACTCAGGTGTCCCCTGATGTCCACCCTGGCTCCACTCTGATTCCAATGAATAGCATTGCTCTGCCCCAAGGAGAGGATGACTATGGCTACCAGTGTTTGGAGGGCAAAGATTGTGCCAGCTTCTTCTGCTGCTTTGAAGACTGCAGAGCAGGATCCTGGAGGGAAGGAAGGATACACATACGCATTGCCAAAATTGACTCCTATTCTCGAATATTCTTCCCAACAGCTTTTGCCCTGTTCAATCTGGTTTATTGGGTTGGTTATCTTTACTTATAAATTTCATGACTAGACTAAAATTATAATTCTAAGCAAATCCAATTTAATCAGTTGTGCTTCAGTAACATGAAGTTAAAACTTAAAATGGAGAAAAACCAATGCTTAAAATACAAACAGTATTGTGACTATTTTTAGGTTTCCATAGGTAAACAAAATATCAGCTTTGAGATTCATTTACCTAAATTTACATGAAACTTATGAATTGTTAAATCCAATATATTTAAATACTATTATATATTTTATTTTCATTTTCTTTATGTTACTTATATTCTATTAGGATTTGTGATATATACTTTCAAGGTGAAGTAATTTAGTACATATTTTATTTAAATATATTTATCAATGTAATAGGAGGCTAATGCCTAAGATTTATCTATTTTTTTTTTTACCTAAGAGGATTTTAACTTGATTTTTTTTTTCTTGGTTTTTATTTGTCTGCCCTGTTTAGTATATATCTTGTTAAAAAATAAATAAAAGCCATGAATTCCTTGCATTTTTTTCAAGATGTTTTACTCCTGAGGAGAAAGTAATTTATTCTTATGATTTTAAATTAATTTATACTATGAGTTGATATTTAGTAGGGTTAAAAAGTGATATTATGATTTATGAATACATTGTGGAATAACTGAATGAATCTCGTTGGTAATAGCACATGACTTATAAAATGACTAATATTTGTTTGTCATTTAATACAGTCCATTTCCTTATAAAATATGAAATACAAAACTCCAGCTACATTTCGTTTGAGGATTTGCAAAGTTAAATAGAAACTACTTCAGCAGGTTTTTGAAATACAATTTGAAAAATGATAAGCAAATTATATTTATCCATTTCATTTTCCTCCACTATTTATGAAATATAGATGATAAAATCTACCAACATAAATATTAAATACAAAAAGAAGTGATCACTTTTTTTCATGTGCTACAAAGGTGTGACAGTCTTTAAGTTAATAAAATCATTAGGGAAGAGCACTTGTATTTACTTTTTGTGGTGGAAAAAGATTTGGCAAGTTAAGTTGCAAGCCACATTGAGAATATGGACTTACATATGTATTTGTTAGATCAGACTTACTTGTAAACAATTTATGCCTATGTCATGCATTTGTCTCTTCTACCTCTTGAGTTCAGAGCCCATTGTACAACGTTATAAATCATTATTAGATTATCTTTTATAGGAAATGAGGAAAGCCACAGAATCATATTAAGGTGACTTTTATTACAGATATCTTTAAGGAACATGAATTTGGGACCAATATAGTTTTCAACAGACACCAGACAAGTCCAAATGAAGTCTCTATAGGAAATACTGGTGGGGTCAATAGCTGCCACATGTCTCTTGTAAAGAGGAGAGTTAAAATTAGGTTTCAGTGATATGGCCCTGTAAATCACTTGGCATATCAGTTATTTATAACACTCCATATTCATCCACCGTCATTTAATTTTATGGAGAATCAGCAGGGTTAGCTTGGACATAAACTTTAAAAATTGTTTCCATTGCCAAGAATGATTACCCAGATGAAGAGATTTATGTTCCAGGACTAATTTAGGGTTTGAAAAGGATGCTGTCACCTATGTACTTGATGCTCTAGTTTATAGTGTGATAATTCCTCCACATGGGCAGTAAAAGCCTGAGTTATCCTTATGTTTTCGGAATATATAATTCTTTTTTCATTTTAACCCAAATACACTTTGAAATATATTTAGATTAAAGTGAAAAGAACCTCTAGGCAAAAAAAAAAAGTAGAAATTGAACTTTACTGACAAGAACTCACCAAAACGGCTGTATTTTTCTGGGATGGTGAGTCAAATTAAACTTTGGACATGTGTATATTCATTTTCAGATTATTTGTGCATTCTTGTTTATAGCAATGAATATTGGTGGACATTTTAAAGATTAGCATTCATTTAGAAATAAATGAAAAAAATACATAAAGAAATAAAGTATTGCACTAAATTATTTTATGGCCAGTTCCATGTTCTAAGCTGTAGCCTGCTCATTATTATGCAGTAGTTTAGATTTCCAGGCTCTTTCAATTTTATTTGAGCATGACTACATTTCAGAGCACTTTAATATGCTTGATATAAATTGCCTTGATTTTCTCATTGATGTCTTATTAACTCTATTTTAAATGTTCACAATATTTACATGTGAAAATACAATTGATAAAAATATAGAAGATACTTCTCTCTATATATATATTTCTTGTATATACCATCAAAACAATCAGTTTTCAAATCCAGTGGTATTTTGGGCAGCTTTATCTAAATTTATGGATCAGAAAGAGATGCAGCATAAAAATCTTACTATACCTAAAAATAAACATTGAGAAGTAGAGATGTGGGCTGGGGATTTAGCTCAGTGTTTTCACCGCCTGCTGCGCAAGCTCAAAGACCTGAGTTCGATCTCCAGTAACAAAAAACAAAAACAAAAGTAGAGATGCATTTACATTTTTAAAATAAAAAGTCAGAAGAGCTTATTCTCTTAGAGGATGTACTCTAATTCTTGTTCTTTTTTCAAGTATTAGTTGTACCATGTTGGCAAAGGTCATTTTTTTAAATCTTTCTCTTTCTCCAGGGGAGCTATGTATTATTGTAATGGTTTTACTGGGACTCTTGCTGGATGCAACAAACAAACAAACAAACCTCTAACATAGATCAAAAAGTAGATGTAAATAATGAAAAGAATAAGAAAAACAGTGGGATTGAAAATAACGTTAAATCACATAGATCCATCCGTGGAATATATGATCAGGATATAAGGGCACTGAGAAGAATGTGACTGACATAACTTTGTTTTGATTTACAATGACAGAGTAATAGTTTATGTATCCTTGAATTACATGAATAAAATTGTAATCACTTGAAGTTAATTCCTAGAGTGCTAACTAGTTTTAGAAATAAAAAAGTACTTAGATTATCTGAGAATCCATTAAAGAAAAAGAAAGATTCCCCCAGTAAAGCCAAATGAAATATAAAGTTTTGATGTCAAATTAAGAATTATAATCCATTGAATATATTTCATTTTAAGTTATAGAGAGATTTCATTAAGCTTTAAGTCCTGATAAAACTTTATCACACTATTGGTAAACATGAAAGCATTCATCGGGGTTTTTTTAAACCTGTAATGTGTTCCCATACTCTGATATCTACATATACTGTAATCATAAATAGACTGTATTTTTCCTTAAGAACAAGAATAAAATGGAGAGCTGCATTCTTGCCTATAATTCAGCCTCAGAAAGAATATCAGGTAGGACTCTTACACTCATAATTGTATATATGAAATTATATTTAAATTTAGTATATTGTGACTAAATAATTCTATACTTACATTATATAAGAGCATAGCTTAAATGGAATGATTGGTATGAGTAAAGTTGCAACTAACAATCAGTATTTAATAAACACATAACAAATGAAATGCATACATAAAATTATCAAATATCTATATCAATGCTCTTCCCACTCTTGGAAAATTTGCTGTATTAAGGAACCACATTCCTGATTACTGTATTAGTCTTATCATTAGGGTTGAAGTGACACAATAACAACAAATTTATCCAGTTCTTCACTGTTATGTCACAGGAAGTCTGGACATAGTTGTACTATGCTTCTGTTGATCATCTTTCACTGGCCTTGACATGGCACTGTAAGGTCACCAAAACAATTACCAAAGGTTTATTAAACACATTGCAATTAGAGTTTCAAACACTATCGACACTCACTTTAATAAATTTAAAGTTGGCTCTGCCTACCTATGTTTGCAGTTTAGAAGTGAGATGGCACAACTCAAATATTTAAGGAGCATTTTCTATGCACAGACTGTTCCAGATAGACTAGAAAGAGGAAATATGAACTCTTAAGGAACAAACAGAGAGAGAGAAGATGATTAGTTATACAATTTAAGAAAAGATGGATAATCTGGGAAGATTTCCAGGAAGATATGTGTTTAAAAATATGACTTTGAGGATTTAATATGCCCATAGGTGAGAGAAATAGAGATCACAATTTCTGGTTGAGAAAGAAGCTTGAATAAAGAAACAGAAGTATGGACAAAAATGAAAATTCCATTTTAATTGGAAGTAATGATTCATATCAAGATAATCAAAAGTGAAGCTGGAAGGAAAGACCTAGAGTTACACTTGAGAAATGAAAATACAGACTTCAGGTGGCCAGATGACTTTATAAAATCAGGAAGAATGAATAGAGATACTTAAGTACAAAAAGAAGTTATTAAACCTTCGGAAGATTCATCTTATTATTACATTGGGTGTAAGAAGCTTAAAGCAGCTTTTAAAATATAGAAAGTGAGTAAGGATGGAAATGGATGTACTGGTGAAATAAGTTTTCAGTGGGAGGGGGAGATAACCTGAAATAAGAAAGAGAATTGGCAGATACTAAAATCTGATTAGCAAATGGTATTGACCAAAATAAATGGTGTGCACATGGGGCCCGAAGGTCCTACATCGAACAATATTTGTCTGTGTGTGAATAAACACTCAAATGTTAGAAAGAAATTCTGGATGTATTATAGTCTTGCTTGCTGTTGTATTTAAATCAAATGCACACTTTTAAGCTTTTTAATAATTTATGTACTAGGGATGTAAAAATGAACACTATCTCAAAGTATACATTAAAGGTAGTTTGTCTGGTTTATTATTATTTTCATAAGATCTGCTACTTATCAAAAGGGCTTTCTCTTCAAATAGCCTCTTTTATCTTTCTATCCTAGCATATATATACATAT